CTGCGAGTGTTTTCGCCGCATTACGCGTAATTTCAAATCAGATTATTTTCTCGCGCCGGCGCGAACGTTTATCTTCGCCGATGGATTCTCCGGGATGCATCTCGTCGCCACGGCGGTTGTGTTTGAAACACAACGTGAAATCATTCTCGAAGTGACCGTTTCACCGACGTCATGAAACACGGACGAACAATGAAACGCTTATCTCTCTGACCGCCTTTTATCTCTGTTTATATACGTTACTATGTTGCGTGACTGATAAAATTTCAGTCGATCGGTTAATTATACGCAAAGCGAAGCCAAAGCAAAGACCACAGTGGATGAATCTTTACGGAGAGTAAATTAGAGTAAATTAAAACAGATATCAGAAATATTTTCGGTAGAATACGCGCTATTTTGGGATATCCTTGCACTTGAACCCTATAACGATACTTAACTGTATACCGAAAGAACGGCTTTGTTAAAGTTTCTAAAAATTTAGCTAGATACAAATCTGAAAATAAATAATAATTATGTGGGAATTAAAACATAGAACTTAAACGAACAAAATGAGTCACACGAATTAGTAGATAATATGATTAATTCTTAAAATTACATTTATTTTAAAATCATATATTTCGATTCCTCTCCGGAGAAATTCCATCCTCAGTGAACAATATTAATGTTTAAAATTTTAAAACTTTTCTAATTTTAAATATCAATATTGTTCACTGAGAATGGCCCGAAGAGAAATCGAAACGTATGATTTAAAATAACTGAAACTTTAAGAATTAAATCATATTGTGAATTGTCTATTAATTTGCGCACTGACAACTACGCGTTACTCTCATTTGCTCGTTTAACTTTTTTGTTTTAATATCGAGAATCTATAAATTGTTATGCTAATTATATGGAATTCAAGTTGATTGTTAGAATGTCAACTTTTTACAATATTATTCATTATGCTTGAGCGTAATAATAATCTTGATGGTTCAACAAAATTATTTTCTATTCCTAAGTCCTAATCTGTAGATAAATTTTTAAATACAGAAGCAAAATCGAATTCTTTCCGTACATGATATTACAGGAAATCATAAAGATGATACGTTACGTGATTTACTTTTTCTGATAAGACTTAATCCAGACGATTATATTTCTCTCGTGTGTGTTATTAAATTATTTTATAGCACGGCGATTAATAATAATATTACTAATAATGTAAGTCTATTGTCAATGCTTCTACTGTTATCCTGTATGCTTGCGATAAGACCGAAATTTAATACGGACTGTTTGCAAAATAGCATACAGAGCTATCGTGCCGTAAATTGAAGGCTCGCGACCGCTGTAATACGGCTCGTTAAGTATGGTACGCAAAGTAATATGAGCCTTAATAACGAACGCGGCGCAGAAAGATCCGCGACGAAGGTCTGTCTCTTCGACGCGAAACGACAATCGTCAAGATTAACGGGCCGAAACGAACTGACGACAGTCAACTGTCTCATAGTTATCAAATTATAAGAAACGAGACTCGGCGAATCCGACACCCGGTGGAAACATTTCGAGTGTAAATAACGAACTCTATCGATTATGCTGCAACGGTTCTTCGATCGTCGAGAACGGAGATGTTTAATCTTCTGTTGTTAAAATACTACCGACGTGAAGACATTCGATAAACGTGATATCAAATATCTTGCTACAAATTTAATATCACTGAGAGAAACATTATTCGTTTACAATACCTAACGAAACTTGGTATAATTATTTATTTCACTGAGAAAAATATCTGAGAAAATGGACGAATCAGAAGATTCTGATTATATCAATCAGAATTTCGATTATCTCAACTAGAATTCTAGTAGATTTAACTAAAAAAAAATCTGTTTCTAATCCTTTTTCAACCAGAATTCTAATTAATCCAGCCAATCATTTTTCTCGGTGTTTTCGTACATTCAAAAAAAATTTACTAAATCTTAGTACATATATCTTTGAATAATATGAAGTAAACATTTACTTATAATAAATAAATATTTACTCAATAAATATAAAAAGATAGTTAAATTAAATTAATAGATTTTATATAAAATAAATAAATGTTTGTATTTAATAAATATTTATACCTAGAAATATTCAAATAAATATTTATTAAAATTTAATATTTTTTTCAGTACACAAAAAAAATGATTCTGAAATTTATATACATATGGATCTAAATATAGAAATAACTTTATTGGACTATCAAAATAATTATAAAAAACTCAAGCATGATATAACAATACTACAAAAATTTTGACATTTTTATAGCGACCAGCTGTAGCATCTTACATAATTATTTTGATGGATAACATAATTATTTTCAAATCTGTATCTATATAGAAATCTGTAAAAATCTAAATTTTTACATAGTTCAGCAAAACTGTTCTTTCCGTGAGAGCGCCTGAAATTACGCAAGGCGTTGTTTTGCAACTAATGTGCAAAGGGCGATCTCGACATTGCCCTTTTCTGTCGTCTTGTTTGTCGTTCTAGGAAGTTTCACGGCATATACGCAATGCCGCGATATAAATTATATTTAACCGAATAGCTGGCGCAGAGCTCCCGCAGCGTTTCAAAGGAATATATGGGAACGCCTCGGATGAGACGTCCAAAACGTAGTTTTTGCGACTTTCCGAGCCGCTCGGCTGCGCCGAACTTAGCGTACAAGAGAGCCTACAGCACCCGTCGTCTTTCAAACAGCGTCTCAAACCAAACAAACATTTGAGATTTAGTTAACCAACTATGCCGTGAATTGCCGCGCAACGCATCCGCGTCCTTCTCTGGATTGCAATTTCATAATTGCTTTGTGCACATTCAGAAACGATAATTAACGTGGGAATCTCGCGGTTTCAAAAAGCATTGTAATACCATGAGCATAATTCAACATCGATTAACTAGAAACAGGTAGAATAATATTAACTCTTATAAGTACACCGAATAAAATTTTTGGTATTTGGAAGTATAATTATTTGTTACTATAATTATGATTACTACTATAATAATAATTATAGATATGTATATAGTTCTATTAATGATATATATACTTATTAAAGCTGACATTGTAGCAGTAAAAATCATAATTATGTAACATATAATTATAGTTACAAATACATGTAATTGTAGTTACATTTTTCTCTCAGTATATTATACATATAATCGTTTGAAAAACACAGCAAAAAGTTTACAGCTGCAGGCTTAATACAAACAAGCAAGGTGCCAATATTACATTTTTCAATGATTTTAATTACAATATTTAATCCTCCGCCGGCAACATGAATTTTAACTCTTCCGCCAGTAACAGGGAAATAGCAAATTTTTTATTGTTACGAATGATATAAAAATCTGAAAAAATTCTGGTACACCAGTCGAAGCATTAACAACGAGTTTTTACCATTGAATTGTATTTTACTTATTTTTTACAGATTTAAATTTATCTACCAAAATTCACAATCAAAATATCGATAATGCCTTTAAAGATTTTAGCTGCGAAGAATTAATATATCGTAATGATAAAAGATCAATATTTTCTGTAGTTTTGTACTTTTATTTCTATAATAAATAAATTTAATAATCTAAAATTATTTACGTCTTTTATGCCCGTTTCTACGAATTTATTAATAGATTAACTTTAACTTTGATTCAACAATGTAGATTAATCTCTGTTAATTTATCTCTTTATCTTTTTCTAATTCTTAGAAAACGATAAAAAGTAAGTTAAATCGAGATTAAAATTAATCTCTATATTGATAGAAATGCGCATTAGAAATAGAAAAAGATCAATTAGTTAAACTGAAATTAAAATTAAACTACATTAGTGAAGATATAGGAATTAGAATTTTTTTGTCAAATATTCATTTAATTGAAATAACAAGTAAAAATTATCAAACAACCTGCCAAATGTTAGACATTTAGAAACTAGGGGGGGAGGGGGCTAGAAATCGACACATGGTCGTGACAATCAAAAGATCCACAAAGGATGAGAACCGCTTTCGAGAGGTAACGCACGATTCCGCGGCACGCAACGGCGCATCGCTTCGTGGCTGCTTCTCTGGCAGGTGTATGAAGCGAGAAATAAAAGAAAAACGGCGTTCGCGGAGGCTGACTGCTGAGGAAGCGAGAAGAAGAGAGAGAGAGAGAGAGAGAGAGAAGATAAAAGAAAAGAGAAGAGGCATGAGAAAGAAGGAAAAAGGATTCGATTTATGGACTCTCGCATTACATCCGAGCGATTAACCACTAACGATTCGTACGATCGCGGCGACGTCCTGGCACGTGGGTACAAAACCGCGATAATTCGAGAGATCGACTGGGAGCGGAACGGAGCATCGCGACGGGGATCATCTCTTTCCCGGAAGCCTCCCTATCGGCGCTTACCCTCGCATTCATACGAGCATGCTCTACACATTCACACATACACACACGCACACGTATACACATACACACGCACATATCGCTTCATCGCTCACACTGTTGCACATGACAGCGAATGGCGACGGACGTCTCTTTAACGCGTTCTAGGTTATGTTATTCGCATCCCGGCGCGACGCCGCGCTGCACGCGAGGGCGAAGACGAACCCAGGACGACGAAGGGATAATCGTGGAGGGATAGTCGTAAGAGAGTAACCAGGACGCGGGGAACACGAGGCAGAGAGCCGTTGCTCTCGTCGCTAGTTGTCGTCGACGGGGCAGCACTGTCCAGGGCACTGACAAGCGAACCAAAACACAGAGCGAGGTAAGGCCCTGGCGGCCGTCAACGACACGATCGGCCGACGCGCCGATCCTCGGCGCGATCGCGGGCTCGATCGACCGCCGGCCGAGACGCCGATGGGATTTTAAAATACGCACGACGCACCGGGTAAAGACACACCGGAGAAAGAGACAGAGGGAGAAAGAGAGAGAGACGTCCGTCGTTTTATCCTCTACACGGGCCACATACGGCGCAAGGTATCCCCCGTGCGCGAGAAGAGACACGGACACTACCGACGAAACACACTCACCAGACTTGTTGGCGATCTTGTTGAAACAGTTCTGAAAAACCTCGTAGAGATGCATCGGCTCGTCGTCGCTGGCCGCCATGTTTTCGCACGAGACGTGAAAACGAGTGGACGTTCCGTGATCGAGGCGAGTGGGCACGGTTTCGCGGTGCGGCCGCGCGCGGAGCCACACTCCTCCCGCTACGATCACCCACACTACTGAAGTGTGCCGCTTCACGGACGCGGCTCTTATACCCGCGCCGCTGGCGCCATCAAGCGTCCCTGGCTGGGCGCTGCCAAGTTCGCGCGCCATATCTTCGAAATGCAGCGAAACTGAGCATCTAAACATCATAGAACAAATCGAAATAAATTTAGTCATTCGATTTTTCCTAGGAAATATAATACAAATCTAGGGAATAATTGTAAATAATTCTAATCTTATTTTTAGAAATAACAAATAAAAAGAAATTTCAAGAAATTAAATTATCGAGATATGGAAGGATTTACTGGATCGCAAACTTTCGGGGCAATTTTCTCTCGATGACGATGAGATTAAAATTTTTTATTCACAAGTCAAGTAGAAATAGTTATACAGAATAAATTTTGAATATATTAAAAATATTAGGTACATGCAGCGGCGACCTGCGTTGAAATATATATATATA